AGATGTGTTTTAAGGATAGAGATCAGTAGACTCTATCTGTGCTCACAAGATCTGGTTCTATGTCGTGATAGATTATGTAGATTTCAGGAATGTGGGATGGTGTACTTGATTATTCAATCTTATTTCCTCAATTATGAAGGAATTTTTTTTCTCTAAAGCATTATAAAAATAAATGAGAATCATACAAGTACAGATATTAGTAAAGTTCGACTATTTTATTAAAATAAGATAGACATGAATCCTGGAGCTAATTTTATTTTCCCATTTCATTCAAAGTAATTAGACACCTAACTTGAACCAGTTTGCTTTGTAACTTACTTGCGGTCGTCTCTCCCCTCTCGATCCCTGCTTTTCCTCCCAGTTTGTCATGCCTCACCGCTTTATCTCCTACTTCATCCAACCTGAAGTGCATCATTTCTTTGACTCTGGAAAAGTCTGCCTCCTTCTGTTGCATCTGCCCCGAAATCCCCAAGCTGTGCTTAAATTCGGTCACCCACTACTTCATTCCCACACCCAGCTTGCTGAACTCCATGGGTGCCCTGCAGCACCAGCGAGCATCTTGTTGCCGCCCCATGTACGGCTTCCAGACAGAGCTGAGGGGTCAGTGCTGTTCACCACGCCATCCTCCCTACCTGGGAGAAGACCTTCCAGAACTCTGCAGTCTCAAGGGCTCTTCTCCTCTCATGCTCCTTGCTTTCAGCCAGTGAACATATTTAAAACTTCACAGAGAATGTGAGTTTTTCTGGTTTTCCCTCACTCAACTTTCTTTTCAGATATATGCATTAAGATTTGTGAAATCACGGGCGCCTGGGTGGCTCAGTCGGTTAAGCGACTGCCTTTGGCTCAGGTCATGATCCTGGAGTCCCGGGATCGAGTCCCGCATCGGGCTCTCTGCTCGGCAGGGAGCCTGCTTCTCCCTCTGACCCTCCCGACCCTCCCCCCTCTCATGCTCTCTCTCTCTCTCTCTCATTCTCTCTGGCTCAAATAAATAAATAAAATCTTTAAAAAAAAAAAAAAGATTTGTGAAGTCACAAGTGCACACACTTTCTTGTCTCTAGTTTTATAGAAATTGTTCACCTCTTTTCTGCAGGTCTTATCCTTAAATTGGTGACATTGCTCCTGTCTTAGTTCCTGCCTTGGACTTTGTCTGACCAGCTACTCTTGACATCTGTCCCTCTTCCTCTTAACTGGCTCTTTCTGAATATACCAAAAATATATTCATATCTCTCACATTAAAAAAAAAAAACATGAAATCTCCCCCATCCATATGTTCTATTGAAGGAAACCCCCCAACTCTCTCCTTCCTTGTTCTTACAGAAAGAGAAGTAAGTAATCCCTACCTCTATCTCAATACCTCTTTTGAGTGATTTTTAAACTTAGTGAGGTCTGGATTTCAGGCCTACTGCTCCGCTCATCCAAACCTACAAATTCAGTGTCATTTTTCAGTTCAGTTGATATTTGTACCACATATTTGCTTATTCAACAGCTTCCTTGGGATATACCTCAAGGACTCCAACAAGCATTCCCTAGGTTGAACCTTATAAACCTCTTCTTCCTGCTGTCTGCTCTCTCAGTAAACAGTATCACCCAACATACAAGCCTACAAATCTGGATGTCTTCTGATACTCCTCTGTCCCTCTCATGTTCTATGTTTAGATAGTTACCAAAGCCTTAGATCCCTTGCATGTATTCTGCCCCTTTATCTTCATGACTACAGCTGTGTTTAAATGGGTGTTATTTTTCACTGGGCTAGTGAGATAGATTTCAAACCTATTTTTATATTTCTTACAAGCTTTAAAAAAATTTTTTTAACTGCTCTCTCACAGCCTGGGATAAATCTAGTCTCCTTAGAATGTCATTAAAAGGCTCCCCTCGTGGTTTTGACCAAAGTCTAAATTATCTTTTGTTTTTTGCTTTTGTTTGGCTGTGATGAGTCATAGACTCACCAGAGACTTTCTGATGAAAGCTATAGATGGTTTCTTTAGAAAATTGCATATGCTTCCAAACAAGAAGCTCATACTTTGTTGTAGTGATGTCGAGCGGATTCACAGTCTCCCTCAGATCTGTCTGTGAATCCCACAGTCCAAACCAATCTCTTGGCACACTAACACTTTCAGCAAGTCTGAGGTACTTATATTCCCCCCCTTTTTTAATTTTATTATGTTATGTTAATCACCATACAGTACATCATTAGTTTTTGATGTAGTGTTCCATGATTCATTGTTTGCATATAACACCCAGTGCTCCATTCAGTATGTGCCCTCTTTAATACCTATCACCTGGCTAACTCATCCCCCCACTCCCCTCCCCTCTAGAACCCTCAGTTTGTTTCTCCTTAATGTCCTAGTTGATGGTCCCCTTCACACAACCCCTGGCTGCTCCATTCACCTGAGCAGAATAAAACCCACTCATCTTCTGTCCATTAGCCTAAGGTCACCTCTAGACCTATCCTCATTCTGTCTTCACACATACAGGTCTGGGTTATTTTCTTCTTTGTGAATGGGTTATGTATGACCTCTATTAAAAGGTAACAAAATAACCTAGGGAAGACAGTCAAATTTAAAGCTCAAGAGCCTTGGAATCAGAATGACATGAGTTGAATGCACAGCAGAAATGGATATATTTGGTAAGCAGTGTAATGTCCCCTGACCCAACTTTGAGGAAGGAGAAATTTCTCCTCCCAAAGTAGTACCATTTCCAGCTTTATGATGGAACTGACATTTAAGTTTGTTTTAAAAACTACAAAGAATTTGGAAATGTGAAGATGTGAAGTAGAAAAGATGAGTGGGGATTTTCAGACCCGAACATTTACTAAGCTGCTTTCCATTTTAGAAATTAGAAACTTGGTTGTATCATTAGATTTTTTATAGTACTATATAAATCACAAGAATTTAACTTTCACGTAGTTCATGTGACTTATCCCCTGACCTTTATCTTTATTTCTTACTAGAAGTTTCCTTATTTGAAATTCACGCTGAGCTCATTTTTCCAGTTTTCTGCAAATTATATTTACTGATTTGTAAGATTTGAGACATTGGTTTATCAAAACTGTTTTTAGGAAATCTAATCCTATGGGAAACACATTAAGAAAGTATTCAATAGGCTAACACCCTTGTGATTCACATTAGCATCGTGAAGACTCTGAGAAGTTCTCAAAAGAAATTTCACTTAAGTCACTACCTCACAACTTAGTTGAGCATAGAACCCCCTTTTCCATAACAGCTGTTACTATCTGAAAGGACCATTTCTCCACACTTTGGGGAATTATAATGAAATATAAATATTCATCTGGTATGTGCTCTCTTTCCAAATAAAACTATCCAAATAAAAGCATCCCAGATAAGTTGTTTTACATTTTTATTCACATCTCAAAGATTCCAAAATACTCTTTAACTTAAAATACTTTTATCATAGGCTATATGTATGTTTCAAATATTTTTTATTAACCTGGTTGTAAGAGAGCTATTTGAATATATTTAAAAAAAATCAAAATAGGGGCGCCTCGGTGGCTCAGTCAGGTAATCAGCTGACTTGATTTCGGCTCAGGTCATGATCTCAGGGTGATGAGATCTAGCCTACATCAGGCTCTGCTCCCAGTGGGGAGTCTGCTTCTCTCCCTCTGCTCCTCCCCCCACTCGCCGCTTGCTCTCTCTCTCTTTCTCTAAAATAAATAAATAAATATTTAAAAAAAAATTCAAAATAGTATCACAGATCTTTTGGAACCAAAAGGTTGGTTAAGTTTCAAATGGTTTTCTCCTTCACCACTCATTTGGGAAAACTAAAGCCTAGAGAAGTTTAAGAACTTTCTGAACATCATGGAGAGATTCTGTAGTAGAACCCAGACTTAAAATGGATGTCTTGAAAAAGAGCCCAGTATTCTTTTGTTGCTTACTAATGCAATCCATTGCTGAATAATACATTTATAAATAATAAAACTGATCCTGCTTGTGATGACAGTTGAGATTTTTCATGACTTAGGGTTCGAAACAAAAACTAGATGGGTTTATGTAAACGTCCAATTTCAAATGCATCATCACAACTAAACATCGTTGAAATGATACTGACCTGAGAACAAAGGCTTTAACAATAATTTAGAAATAAAATTTAATATTCAGAAGAAATGTTTTTAAAAGAGCTAGTCTTTTGGAAATATTAACTCTATAAAATCAGAAGTGTAAAGTGGAGGAAAGATTCCTTTTATTCTTATTTGTTTAGTGTTTCATTTAATGAAATGTTTTCTTACAACATGAAATCACTCTTGGAGATCAAAGTCATTAGGAGAACACAGCAGATTGTGCTTATTAGTTGATTCTAACCAGTTCTGCGGTTTAAGCATAAGTTGTTTTTCCAAGGCAGAGGCCTTTCCGTCTGTTAGGAAATACAGACCTTTAAAATTTTTGTTTCCACTATGGCATCGTATCATAGCTTCTTCCTTACTAACTTTGAAAAAATTAGGACATATCGTGCTCTCAATCAACCACATAAAAATATATTTAAAAAATATATTTTATATTCTTGTTATATTCTTATATGAAGTTACTTTTTTAAATTATAATTTCATTTTATTACTAAGCATGCCAGGTCATAATAACAGTTTTTGGGAACTGTCAAGGTATAAAGGTACATGTTCCTTTCTTTTTCTTTTTAACTTAAAGTGAGTATTTGTGTGTATAAGAAAAACCTCTTTACTTCCAGGAAACACATCCAACATTTTCAAGATTAAGGAAATAACACACCACGTATGCTATTTTAATTAGACAATATTAAATGCGAACTAAAAGTCTGGTGGACTTAGTTCCAACATGTCTGTAACTTTATCACCATGTGGAAAATTAATGTTGCAAAGTCAAATGTGGCAATAAAATATACAGAATAAGGTATATTTGCTAAAGAATAAGGTGTATTCATGAAGTTTATGCTCATAATGTTGAACCATTAGTAAAAGTGTATTTTATGTTGAGAATTAATATGTGTAAATTTTAAAATTTTTAATTTTTCAGATATTCTACTCTCCCCTGGCCCTCTTTGTACCACCTTCAGTATATGCTGTTCATCTTCAGTTCAATCTTCTCTACCAATTTTGGATCCACACAGAGGTAACTCTCTTTAATTTTTTTTAAGTTTTATACCTAAATAGTTAGCCTGAAGCAATGTCCTAGAAATCCACCAGCAGCTGATTTATTGTGTAAGAGAAATCTTTGTCTGCCTTCTTTAAGGAGAAACATCTGTTCATTTTTATTCCTTTTTATTGAATATATATTGCAAAGTTTATAAGAAGCAATGAGGCCAGTTGGTCTCAATTAAATAAAACAATTTTTTGAAATATTAAGTACCAAAACATTCTAATACTATATTCAATACAGTATCTTCCTGTATTACAGTTTATTAAACATTGTTTACCAAAAGATGTTGAAATACATTTCAACTTAAAGATACAAATTTATATATATATAAATTTTTATATATTTATAAATATATGTAATTTAGTATGTTAATTATTATTTTATGCTATAATTTATATAATAATAAACAATATTTATGTGTCAATATTGATACATTTTAATGTACATATTTACACATACATATATCAATCAGTGGGAACTCCTTGAAAAAAGTTTAATGCTTAAAGAAATTGTGAAAATATCATTTGACTGGAAATCTTGCTTTAATTTTAGAGTTTAGGTTTTATTTAGAGAGGGTTCAATATGTTTAGGTTCCCTCCCCCCAGAAAAGTGAGCAAATATAATTTCTTGGGTTTTCTGTGGTATCTCAAATTGTCAGATTTGAATGTTTGCAGATAGATCATTAAGCAACTGATTGTTTTATGAACCCTTGTACTGTTCTGGTTCTTAAATACCAAAATCGCAGACCCAGAACAATTTTTACTTATACACATGAGACCCTTCCCAAGCATTTGGCGTTTGTTGGAAGCCTTTTGAAGTTCCGTTAAGAAACATGTTGACAGGTGTTGCAGCTGGTTGAACAATACTGCAAATCACAGCTGCATTCGATACCAAAGCTTGATACAACAAAGTGCATTATTTCATTAATCTGCAGTATTTCATGCTACCACTCTACTTGGAATAAAGAGACTGTTACTATGACTTTGGACATATGTGGCATTATTTGAAAACCTGTGATGAAACAGCATTGCATTTTATGGCAGTTGACATACATCAAACAGTCAATAGGACAACCATCTGAAAGAGCTGTTGAGGCCAGTTCTGACTGTAGAGGTCAAAGACCAAATTTGTTTAAATCAGTAGAGGAAAGCTTTCTGATGATTTACATGGAGGGGTTAAAGGAGAATTACATTTTTATAGCAGCTCTGCTACAGGTCAAGCCACATGTTGGGTCAGAACAATGGTGCCTGAGTTACTTCCGCCTTTTCCTGTGCCACTCTGAGAGGTCTGTAAGCTTGAGTTTCATCGCAGTATGTAGAGGGGCAGTGGGGCAAAGCCAGTGGTGAGACATCTCTTTTAAGCTCAGGACCTCCAGGTGGCTTCATTTCCAAACTCAAAAGCAACGCATTACAACCTTTCACCTGTGTTGTCCTTCATATTTTTGAAAGTACTGTATCATGTATAATTACTGCAGTTGAGCTGCACAGGAAGCAAGAACACACTTTCTGCAATCGAGGTTTGGCTTTTGAAATTTTAAATTACATTATTAGGTGTGAATACATTTATAAGATTTTTTTTACAGGTGTGCATTTAATTACATTTATTATTATAGACAGCATACTACCACTTGTTTAAAATAACAGAATCATACAGGAAAGAGAACCAAGAGATTTTTAACAGTGGCTGTTTCTGGAGAGGGGAGTGAGTGGAATCGAGAACTGGAGTGGGGAGAGGACTTAACTTTTAAAAAAATTATTACTGTGTGCTTGCCCTCGTTTTCAAAGCTTAATACACAGAAACCATACTCCATTCACAGAAACACTATGCCAGCCATGGTACACATGACAATGGTGGCCAAGGAGCCCCAAATAGTCCTCAATGCAGGTTTGATTCTTTCAGTTGTTTCGCGGCTGCTGACATCCATGAAATCAGTTTTCACTCTGAGGGAGATTTGGCCTTAAGGAGGTACTGATTTTTTCAGCGTGAAGACGGGTTCATTCACGTCATCAATCAGGTTAGGGTGAGAGAAAGTTAAAAAAAAAAAAAAAAAGCAAAACAGTAACAACATGCTTTTGAAAGATTGTATGTGAGAGAAAAAATAGATCCTAAAGTTACAAAACCTTCTACTATAAACTGTACTGTTCTTTAATTTTTGCCTCCGTTTTTGCTTATTGTCCATTCATACAAAGTGTCTGCAACACATAGTCAGTGACACTCTTTTATTCTGAGTTTAGTAAAGACAAGTGGAAAAACTTATTATTTAATACATGTTTTAAAGTTAAGAGTTGTGGAATGTTGTCATTTTTTTTGATATTTTAGATGGTATTTGGGTATTAGTTGATTCACACAGTATGATTGTCATAGTAACATCTAGTACCTTTTCATTATCTGTTACCTTTGATTTACCATCATTGTTCATGTACATATCTGTTGATGCTTGTGCAAAGAAATATAAAAGAGAAATGATTCTTTGGTATTTAAGATTTGAAGGATTTTTATAGTGCTAAACTGAAGCCCCTAAATGGAATATGATGCAGTTACAAACAAAATGAGCAATCTTTTTCTGTACTAATATGGACAGATATCCAAAAACTAACAATGTATAATGTATGCTAATATTTATATTAAAAAAGGGAAAACAACTATATGTTTTATAGGTTCACATATGCATGAAATGTTTCTAGAAGTACACATGGGTAGCCAACTCTTATCCCAGGGGAGAGATATTTGGGATGACTAGGGAGAAGAATTAGAATGAGATATTAACGTTAATTTTCCCCATTCTAATGTGGGCAAGGAGCTCTCTCTTTGTGGTAATACTTCCCAAATAATAACAAAACACTGATGATGTTGGCAGCATTCCATGTACTTATTGGGTATTGATGCATTTGATTTAATAAACTGCCTGTTCAAGCTTTTATTTTTTATTGAGTTGTTTGTCTAAGTGACTTGGAATTCTTTATAGGTTCTGGATATAAACCACTGTCAGATATATGTATTTCAATTATAGTTCCCTATCCTGTAGCATGCTTTCTCATTTTCTTTTTGATTACTTTTGAAAAAAATACTGGATTTTGAAGTTTAATTTATCTTTTTTTAATGGTTAGTTTAGGTGGGGTTTTTTGTATTTTCTCTAAGAACTCTTTGATTATTATTTTTATGAATACCCATTTACTATTGCACCACTTAAGAATAGAAACTTTCTTTCAGCCATTAGATTACCTGAGTCCTTTGTTGAAAAGAAATTGACCGTATGTGATCGGCTCTAATTTTAGACTTCTATTCTCTTCCATTGATTTGTTTCCTCTTATACCAATCCCTCACTTTATTGATTATTATAGCTTAATAGGAAGACTTGTTTGTACAATTGATAAAATAATTTGTTTAAAAATTCTCCAGGACTTTCTTATGGACAATTGTGTAGTCTGAATAGACAGTTTTCTTTCTTTCTTTCCTTTATTTATGCCATATATTTCCCTCTCTCTCTTTTTTCTTTTTGCTTCATTGCTTAGAGTTCACAGATAGTATATTTTAGGTCCAATTTTGAAACAAACAAACAAATCTGGCCATTATTTCCTTGCACATTGTATCTACACCTTTCTCTCTCTCTTCTCTTTGGACTCAAAATACATGTTTATTAGACTATTTGATATTGATTCATATCACAGTAATGCTCTCTAATTTCTTAAATTTCACTTTCTTATTTAGATTGGTTAATTTCTATTAATTTATCTTCAGGTTTAACTACCTTTTCACCTGCTCTCTCTGATGTACTTTTAAGCCCATTCAGTGGATTTCTCACATCAGATACTATGCCTTAAATTTTTGAATTTCCATTTTTATTTATAAATAGTTTTTGCTTCTCTGCTGAAAGTATCTGTCACTCATTAATGGCTGTCTTTTCCTTTAAGTCTTAATCTTAATAAGTATTTTAAAATTCTCATCTGTTAATTCCAACATCTGAGTCATGTACAAGTCTACTTCAATTGACTTATTTTTCTTGTTATGGATCACATTTTCCTTCTTCTCTATATGTCTAGTAAATTATTATTATTATTATATGCCCATCTCCATGGCACATTTGTTGTAAGGATTTTAGATTCTGTTATATTCCTCTGACATTTTCTTATTTTTATTGTAGGAGGCAGTGAAATAATTAGCTAATTATCCTGCATTTTTGGAGGCTTTGATAGGACCTGAGACTTTTAGTAGGGTCTTTAGTCCTGGGGCATATTCATTATCCTTGGTGGTCTTTAATTGGTGGCCTTTAATCTTAGGGCAAGAACTATCCTTTTTTAAAAAAAGATTTTTAAACGTTTATTTATTTGAGAGAGAAACAAAGAGAGCACAAGCAGAGGGAGGGGCAGAGGGAGAAAGAGAGAAGGAGAAGCAGACTCCCTGCTGAGCATGGAGCCTGAGGCAGGGCTCAAGGTGGGGCTCCCTGCCGCCAGGGCTGGATTGTGAGGGGGGCTCAATCCCAGGCCCCTGAGATCTTGACCTGAGCCAAAGTCAGACGCTTAACTGACTGAGCCATCCAGGTGCCCCATATCTTCTTTGTTTTTTAATGAAATGCCTGTAGTGTTTATAAAGGCACTTTAACTTAGTAGGATTTGCATTCTACTTTTTCTCTTATGAGCACCCCGCTGCAGTTGAGATCTTCGTCGGCAATTTTCTAGCTTTCTACCTACCTAGCTTTTTGCCTACTTAACTTTTCAGCAGGTTCCTTAGTGCTTCTTCCTACACATGAGTATTTGTATGAATATTTAAGAGTCAGCCAAGACTCTTAATTCAAGAGTCAGGAGACTCATATGCGGATTGTGGCTCCTCACTCTGTGGGTCCTTCCTTTACAGGAAAGAAACATTTCAGTTTCCAGTCACTCCCGCAGTCTCAAATTTCGATTTCTGATCCTAGCTCGATGAGACTGGCACTTCCTCTTCAGCTCTTCCCACTCTCACCCCCTTCTCCTTGCCAT